ATATATATATACATATATATATATATATATGTATATATATATGTGTGTGTATATACCAACAGCATTGAATTACCATCCTGAAAGTCTAATAGTAGCAAAATAAATTCAAATATATTTCCTAACAATAAGCAGACTATTAGAAAACTTTAACCTTTTAGTAATTAATGTACAGTTGTCATATACATAATTTTATAAATAAAATAATTTCAACATTATGTTGAAGCTTTTATTTTGGTGAACAATTTAGAATAAAATTAACTCTAGCTTCAGATCTTCTCTCATATATTAGTCCATAAAACAACAATACTCAACCTCTGGCTTAAAGTTTTAACTCAACATTTATTCTTCAATAAACATTTTAATTGTTTGAATAATTTACTTTGAAAGTCAGCTGTGATATATCTTCAAACTATTCTAATATTTATCTTTAGAGCTCGCGCTGGTTCTTGGATCAAACACTTAATGTAATACAATCAAGTACTCCATAAAGTTCTCTTTATCAATGCACTGATCAACCATTCAATGAGCACTACACTGATCAACAATTACCTGAGCAGTACAGTAATCAACTATTTGCTAAGCACTCTCCACCAATAAACCATTGGCTGAACTATACCATGATCAACCATTAGCTGAGCACTTTCCTGATCAGTCTTTAGCTAAGCCCTACAGCTATTAACATGAGAACTGTATTGACCTACCATTAGTTGAGCAGTACAATAATTAACCAATTGCTAAGCACTCCCCACTGAGAAACCATTGGCTGAGCATGACAATAATCAAACATTAGCTGAGAAACACATCAATCAATCGTTAGCTAAGCTACACAGATCAGCCATTATTGAAGTACTGTTGAACAATCTGAAAGCTACACAGATAAACTATTAGCTAAGCACTACACTGATAAACCATTAATTATACACTACACTGATCAACCATTATTGAAGTACTGTTGAACAATCTGAGAACTACACAGATAAACTATTAGCTAAGCACTACACTGATAAACCATTAATTATGCACTACACTGACCAACCATTAGCTGAGTACTACTCCGATCAACCTAAGAAATAAAATATAAGTGTGACTTTACACCTTAAAAACTTCAAAAATACAACACTCTGGTTCATGACCAACTGTTTAACTAAAGGCTTGATTCATAAATACTAATATATTTGTTAACAGATCTTTTGGCTTAAACAGCTGGCTCCACTAAAGCATAAGAGAGGGTAAAATTAGTCAATAAAACATTTTGGAATGTTTTAACTTATAAAACTCCACTTAATTAATAAAGAGAATTTATTTCATCAAATATTTTTTTCTGAATGATCAGATCATATTTAATTTTAAATGTTAATATATCTGTTTCATTACAGATTTTGGATTCTTTAAACTAATGAAACCTCACTTCTTTTCCACACATAAATTCATTCTTAAAGTTACCTTGTGTTTAGTTAACAGTTTGATTGCTGCATCTTCATCTTTTCCATAGTCTGTGCTGGTAAGGAAATCATTCTTTTCAGACATCCAAGTTTCCACCTCATTAGCATCAGAGTAAAACTGAGAAAGACATTAAAAGGTAAAGATAAATGTTATAAGCAAAATAATTTATCTTTGATGTGATGAATTATAACACTTTAAATAACACTTTTAAGCCAGAATTTTTATAGTATGTCATATCAAGGAAAAAATGTGTTGATCATCTATCTTTCATTTTTTTGTATGCTTGAATAACACAAGAAAAGTTTTGCTTATATTTTTTCAGGTAAAGTACTTCCTAAAAATCATCTTATAAAAAAGAAGGTTTACAGTGTTTATTATGGGATACAATTTCAATAATGAAATAGCAAAAGTGATCAGTTTAACACCGTAATGTCTAAAATATGTTGAACCATTTCAATAACAAAAATTTAATTTCCTATAATGAAAAACAGCACAAAAAAATTTTGTTTTTTTAAACAAGTATTGGGCTAACTGCTGTGTCCACTGCAGGGAACCAAACCATGGCTTTTAAGGTTGTAAGTCCATAAACTCACTGCTTCTCACTGGGGGATGCACAAAAACATAGAAGCTTACAAACGTGTATTTCACTAATGCTTTCCTCAGATCATTAGGATCAAACCACCTTCTCATACAAACTACAACTGAATAATCAAATGACCAACACTTACACATTAGTTAATAATCTAAACAGATACTCACAAGATCTTCAAGATGAATATTTATTAAATTAATATAGAAAGTTCTTTAATTTTTCTTATCAGTTTTGTTCATTATTATGATTTTATAATAACACTAAGAACAGATGTTTCATATTTGGTCTAAAAGATGGAGGATGTATGAAAATAATCTTTCAAAGTCTTCACACCGAAGTTAACAACTGGTGCAAATCTTCACCTATTTTGAGTATGTTTTAATACAAGGGCAACAAAACATTGAACTTTACACTTGTTAATACAATTTAGTTAAATTTTGGTAGCAACTATCTAGTATATTCAACCATAACAATTAACAACTCATAATGAACAATCTACTTCTGCATTTTGTAAAATAATGATATATATATTCATTCTATTTCTGACAATTACATTCATATACAAACATTAACTCTTTAAACCCATAATTTTTTGCACGTTCTGCCAGAATTATTTTCATGACTTCCTAATAATTATCAACATACCTTATAAAATTTCAATTTTCTTAATTTTGTTTTTCCCTTCAGCATCAGGGATACTCAAAATGAAGCATTGGTGAGTAAATAAATAGCCTAAAACCTCTCCCTGTTGAACATTTGGTGTCATTATCCAATTAGTAAATCAGGATTTTCAGCCAGATGCTGGCAGCATCCGCTCAGATTTAAGGAGGTAAAACTATTACAATTATACAATAACACTTCCCTTACAAAGTAAAACACAATTTCACAATCAATTTCTTTCACCTAACCTGCTGAGCTTTTAGTGACATCTCCAACATCTCCCTTCTTTTTGCAGCAAGTGAGAGCAACTCTTGCCAACTGTCTTGCAACTCCTTTGATTTAGACTTAATTGATGGTGATGCAAAATGTTTCTGATCAATCAGAGCTTTGCCAATATCCAGTGTCTTTTCTATCACAGGCTGATGTCCCTCAATTTCTTGCTCCAGTTTCTAAAAGGTCAAGATGTAGCTAGTAATTATTATTTACAAAACTAATTTCTATTAGGTTTGTATGAGTTAGCTTCTTATATACATATTTTAAGATATGTAAGCTAGTTTTCTGTAATCATTTTACATTTATTTTAAAGTTCAAGAAGTATGCTATTGAAGTTATTACAGTTATATATGAAAACACACTAATTTAGAAACTAATTTTTATAGCATATTATTTGCTTTAAGCAAAATGCTTAACTCAAATTAATATCAATTAATAAACAAAATCGGCTACTTAATTAAGCAGCAGATTTGACTTCCTTCAGAAACATAAAATTTTATCAACTGAATGTGCTAAAAATATTATATTGTTAAAATTGCATAAAATTTAACAATCATTAAGTTACATAAAATTGTAAAACATATACATAATGTATATGTGTAAAAGTTTCCAAGTTACATCAGTAGATATCCATTCACCTCATGTTTTTTATATAAATTCTGAGCATTTATTAAGTTTTGACCAATATCTTGTGATGACGCTGCAGGCATGTGTTCTTTGATCCACTGTAACTCACTATCAACATCAAAATTAAACTGGTGTAACTTCAATGATTCTTCAAGCTGTCGACGTCTTCTATTCGCAGGAATTTTTAATTTTCTGAATCTAAAACATTATTAAAAACAGAATATTTACTAATTATAATTATTATTCTACAATGATACAAGACATTCTTTAAACTAAAATATGCATGTGTATGCAGATTTTTCAAACCTTCTCTTAGATCTTAGGCTGTATCTTTTTTCAGTTCTGAAAAAATGTTGTTTTTTTTGGGGGGGGGGGGCATAGACTGCTCTTTCTGGATTGGAGGAGCACTTTGCAGATTTTTTTTAATTGTTTATTTGAAAAAAAAAGATATTGGGGTATTAAAAATAGACAGGAAAAAGTAATTATAAATAACAGTTTTTGACCACCTACCAACCAGATCCTTCCCATACAGACCAGATAAAACCTCGATATGGAAATTAATATGCCTTTGATGCCTTGGTGGATAAAAATAATGAAAGTTTCAAATCTGATCTTAAGCAAAGACATCATGCTCTGAATAAGCTTCAAATGAGTCAAATTAGGTTCTTATTCAAACTTTTTCATGACTACGACTGGTCACCATAATGACAAAGCATATTTCTTCAATTTGAATCACTAAAATATTAATTATTGATTTATCATAAAATTCATTTACACATACATAAATGTTGACATCATTAAATTTACACTTGTGTAAAGTTTTGATTTAAGTGGACCTTTATAGTAATTGTAGTGATAGCAAATTTATATTTATTACAAAGTCTACCAGCAATAAATAATCTACAAGTTGCGAGAATCAATGATTAAAAAAGTTCTTACCTGTATGTAACTATATAATAAGTTTGTTTTTAAGCAACAAGCTACAAAATGGGCTTTTTGTGCTTGCCGTGTCCACCATGGGTATCAAAACCAAATTTTTATTTACATAATAAATATTAATTCTCAGCACTATGCTATGATAAGGCTTTCTAATAGCACCCATGGACCTCAAATATGACTTAATTCTAAAAGCATTATAGGTTAATTTCTATCACAAACTAGAAACTTACTGGTGGTAAAAGTTTCACTTTTAAATACAGTTTTTACAATACACAGCATAAGTGTTTATTTTATGATGAAATGAAAATAAGAATAAACAACAATTGTTTGTTTGTTTTGAATTTCGCACAAAGCTACACGAGGGTTATCTGCACTAGCCGTCCCTAATTTAGCAGTGTAAGACTAGAGGGAAGACAGCTAGTAATCACCATCCACTGCCAACTCTTGGGCTACTCTTTTACCAATAAACAACAAAACAGTGAAGATTACATCTACCTCAGTTAATGTCAAGAACAAATTAATCATCTAAGACATAACTTGAAATGATAAATAATTATGATATTAATACACATCAGGCTGTGAAAAAAGTACTGGGCCTTTTATTTAAGTTGTTTAAAAATACGTTCTGCAAATACATGGTAATTCAGGTCAATTTTGAACATTGAAAAATACTATTATGTCTTGAAAACCTTATGTTTGAATGAAAGGTATCTGGTGGAAAATTTCTTTTCATTGGACACTATTCATATTAAACTTTCTTTAAATATTTTCATATACTTTTTAAAATATATGTAATAATTTAACATTTGATCTAAAATTGCAAAATTTGATTACAAGTTTACTTCTGACCATGCCTAAAATCTTTTTAGAATTTTTATCTTAAGTTATATCTATAAATGTCCATCATATCAGTCATTCCAAATAAACATATTGTAAGAATATTGTTTACCCACAGTGGCTCCCTCTTTACTAATGTTCAGTTAATTAAAACCATTTAGTAAGAAACAAGAAATTTCAAGAACACTTGGTAACATTCAAATTGCCTCATTGGTTAAAGTGCCCAAACCTCAAGTAGAAGTTTCTTGTATAAATATCAATGCAGTTGGGATTTTTTATTATTTTTGTTATTGATAAGCAATCATGTTTAGAGAAAGCTCTTTTAATATTCAGAAAAACACAAATACCATGATATTTTATATTGATATTTGTTAATACTGAATTTCAAAGACCAGATGTCAAAGTGGTTCAGTGGTTACAGTACTCGACTCTCATGTGGAAGTCTCACATTAAAATACCAGTCAAGTCAGAATATTTTATTGTTTTTGCTTCTTTTTATAAATGATCACATTTACAGCAAGTGCTTTCAACACCATTACAGAATAAATCAGGGATTTGAGATATTGGTTAACAATCGAATAAAAAGAGGCATGTTTACAACATCAAGCCACCTTAACTTTTCATTTCAACTGAACACTGCTAACACCATCTATGAAATCAAATCTAACCTAAACTTCTGAATAAAACTAAAAATAGTTCAGAAAAAGTGCAAGAAAGAAAACTTGCTTAGCATGAGAAGAAAAAGGTAGATGGATAGCACAAAAAAATTAAAAACTTAACAAAAATGAGAATAACTGAAGCAAGGGGAAACATAATCAAATGAAGCTCCTGAAGAAACAAAGCAAAGATTACAAATTCATGCTGAAAGACAAGCAAGTGGGTTCTGGCCCTCCATGTCTTTCCCATGCATCGAACAGGTACATAACCTAGTATTAAAATAACAATCAATTTTTCCAACAAACAAATGCAACTCAGTAAACAATTGGTGAATGGTTCATCTTTCACCAATGATCAGTTATTCCAACAAACAATTAGTGATAATAATGCTAAAGATCAGACAGAAAGCTCACCTTTCACCAATACCCTTTGCAGCTCTTTGAATGTTCGGTCCATCAAAATGGCCTTCCTTTACCATATCTTGTCCAATGGAGACTACATGCTCTAGTCTTTCTTCCCATATATCCATTTCACTTTCTATGAGCTGAGGATAATTTGATAACAAGCTGAACTTTTTCATAATATTACTAATGAAATAAAATTATTTTGTGTGTATGTGTGTGTGTTTTCCATTATGCTAATTTCTCAATTTTTATAACATTTCAACAAGTGTTTCAGGCTTTGAGATAAATTCATTGGTCTATGCTGGTGGTTCTTAAACTTTTTTTTTGTTGTTCACAGACCACCTGAATTTTTTTTAGCTCAGCAGACAACATTATGTCTATAAACTGCAGCAGCCACAATATTTCTATGAACTGAAAGTTAAGAGCTAGTGGTCTATACATCTCAGTCTAATATAATAACTAACAACCTTAAGCTACCTTGTAATGAATTTCCTAGAAAGTAAAAAAATAACATCCTTAAGAAGAATGTTTTTTGAGCAGTACAAAGTTATCCACATGAAATACTATATTTCTGAAGAGGCACAGTCTTATGAATGACAAGTGAAATGTAATAAAAAGAATTCAACCTAAATTAATGTTATTATCAAGAAACGATATTAACAAGAAATCCTTAAAAAATACTAATTTAAAGTTTTCTAATTTTTCAAAATAACAAGTAATGCACACTAATTCAAGAAATTCTTAACTGATAACAACTTTGAATACAGTATAAATGACAAAGTTTACTTTTAGTTCTTGAAAAGTTTTCAAAGGTTAACTGGATATTCATGATGGGTCTGGATAAATTGCAAATGGAAAAAAAAAAGAAAAGTGAATTAATCTCAAAATCAGGAAAATCCACAAATCAACTATAGATGTTTGAGTGTGCATTTTTTGAGAAAGTACAATTGGAAGTTACTATTTACAATGATTTTTGCTGTTTTAATCAAATTCCTCCAATTCTAAACATTAATTCAGAGTGATTAATTTTGTAAATTTCCAAAATGAACACCGACATTAAAACCCATCTATATTAGTTAGTGTATGGAATAGAAGGACTGTAAAGAGACAATGTATCTTTTATTATACCATGAAATATCATACAGGATAAAAAGTATTAGCAAAATACTAAAAGTGTCATTTTATTTCTTGACAGAAATATGTTAAAGTGGTTAATTACATATGTATACAATATATATATATACAATGTTGAAACGTAAGTATCAAAATGTACATAAGAAACTACAAATATTTCTGTGAAATGAAAGGCAAATCTGAAATGTTACTTTTACACACTTCTGATTCCAAATGAGAAATGGACAAATTAAGAGAAATGTGGGAAAAAATATTTGTAATTTACGCAATTTTTATTACAAAAATTAGGTGCTGTTGGTTTCTATTGCTCCACCAGCTTTCAACATTTAAACGATAACTTTAAAGATATTTTTCTTTATTACAACTAATATCTTGTAATCCATAATGATTCATCAAATAATCATTAAATAGTTTAAAATTTAATTCATAGGAAAAAAAAACTTACTAAGTGTTTCTTCTGAAGCTCCTTTACACTTCGCAAATCACTTCCATAGTCAGTGGATGCCAAAGCATTCTCTAGTTCATCCAGTTTAGAACGTGCTCCTTCTAGTGTGCGATTGTAAGTATGCTGACCAACAGCCTGTTGTAGCTTCTGACCTTTGTCTTTTGCGTGAACACATAGTTCTTCCCACTCATGTTTCAGCCTCTGAAGAATCTCTTTAACTTCATTAGCAGCAAAGTTTCCATCACTAATGAGGTCTCTTCCACTCTAGGAAACAATCATCCAAGTCATCATCACAAGGAATTCAACCATTAGTTATTAACATACTTGAGATCAAAAAAAGACACAAAACTGGTATACCTGTCAGATGCAGCACATGTGTAGAGATTATATAAGTAACCTTTATGTACAACTACTAAAATACTAAGGAGTAGGTATTATCTATACACTCAGATTTAACTTCTTAAAAAACGATTACAGGGCACTTTATAAAAATGATTTACTTCTGTTGCACTCTATTCTACCAACCATCCAAGCTGAAACTTGTTTGTTTTGAATATTCTCATAAAGGACTATCTGTGCTTGCCATCCCAAATTTTGAATTCATAGACTCAAACTTAAATTATTTGATAACTAGCTTAGGTACAAGGATTATAACCATGTTATAATATTCACTGACAGCTTTTGGTTTACTTTAATTGAATACTTGGATTTGGCCATTACTCTTATAACACACCCATAGCCCCAAAGAGCATAGAATGATCTTGTGGCAATGTGATGTGAACAATGGACACACAGATTCGTGGATTGGCATGATAACTACTATGCCATGGCCAATCCCCGAGCCGAAGAGATCTGACATTTCTCATAAGATAAGAACACAACTGGTCATAGATTCATATCATAGTGTAATCCTTCTGAATACCATCTTAAGCTGCAATCAATGACTGAAATGAAGAAACACTCCTTTTCTATTGTTTATAGAAATGTCCATCAGCAATATATCCTTGATTATACATTTGCTTTAAAAGATGTAAAAGGATGGGAGAAACGTTTCTGGTGGGTTTGACAAACATTTCTTACAGTAACCCTTTTCTGCACATCACAAGATTTTACTTAGTTACATTTAAAATTTAATTAAACTATTTTATGATCAATATTTGTCAGTGAAACCAGCATTAAAATTTACATTATAGTTCAAAGGTTTATATTATCTAAGTTTTCATTCCTTTACTTCAAAAGAAACCTTAAAGAAAAATTCTTAAAGTTTTGTTTTATTCTCTCATGATCTGCAAATTCACAAAACGTTAAATTTGTATTTTTGTAGTTTCAACAGTTCTTGATTCATGCTAACCTTCTATATACAGAAATAATCTAAGTTAATTGCTCTGTTTATACGTTCTTCTTTCAAGCTCCAGAATGCACATTCAGAGAAAGGAGAAATAAATTTTTCTGAACTTTTGACAGATGCCATTCCCACTTTCTACACAGAGTGCTGCGATTTCTCAGCCAATTATACTTTGTTGAGTTAGATATTTGTAACCAATGGAAACAGTGCTTTTTGAAGTATGTTCTCTAAACTGCTATTTTGAAATTGTTGATAAGAATTATATATAGAGAACTAGTCAAAAATGCTCTTGGCATTGTTGCTGCTTTGTCCCTGCCACTTTAGCATTATTTCTCACCAGGAAATACGTTAGTTAGGAGGAATAGTTGCATTGCATTTAGGTTTTAGTTTTATATTTTATGTGTTATTTGTATTTTAAGATGCATAATCGAAAGGTTTAATCATTTTTTTATGTAAGTCAGTGCCTGCTTGGTTCACAAAGGATAGTGTAAAATGTGAACGCCACCATGTTCTGCTGAAGGCTAAAGTTTTTCTGCCCACTATACGGTACTATTGGCTGGTAATGCCCATTGACATGTGTTGCTATAAATAACAGCGCTAAAGAAAAGGATAATAAATTACATGTGAAAATGTAAAGACATGCAAAAGAAGATGTTATAAGATTATTTCATAAAATATTAAAAGGTATGTATATTTTTCCTGTCTTAATTTTAAAATTTTCATTGTTATGTACTACAGATTCTCTAATATTAAGTTAATTTACTGTATTGTGTTCATTTAAAATTTTTGTTTTATGCCACTGTATTGAGTGACTTGTTTCTGCAACATGATCAGCCAGCAGAGAAATTAACATGTTTATTAATATGGTATTTCAAATTACATCTAGTTTGACCAATATATTTTTTGTTACATTCACATCTAATTTGATATATACCTTTTTTTTGTAGAATATCTTTTTTATCTTTGGTTTGTTTGTTTGTTGTGGATTTTGCTCAAAGCTACACAAGGGCCATCTGTGCTAGCCGTCCCTAATTTAGCAGTGTAAAAGTAGAGGGAAGGCATCACCACTCACTGCCAACTCTTGGGCTACTCTTTTACCAATGAATAGTGGGATTGACTGTCACATTATAACTCCCCCATGATTGAAAGAGCGAGCATGTTTGGTGTGATGGGGATTCGAAACCGCGACCCACAGGTTGTGAGTTGAGCACCCTAACCACCTGGCCATGCCAGGTCTTATCTTTGGTGCTAAGAAGTATTGTTTAATTATACTAAATGGCTTAAAAATAGGATAAATATTATATTTTCTAAATACGTTGGCAACTGGACTAGTTATACGGTTTACATATGTTAATATCACTATACTATTTCTTTTCTTATCATAAACACTGTTTAATCTAGTGCATTGTTTAATTAAATTTGAACTGCTCTATCATTAGCAATGACTTTTATATAATTTAATTCATTTTTTAAATCAATGGTTTTGAAACAAATTTTACATACTCTGTTTATATAAGTATGGAAAGCTGCTAACTTTTGAGAAAATGGAAGACACGATCTTTGATGTGAGTAAGGTTTTCAGTAAACAGCTGTAGAAATAGTTCCATTATTATTTCTTTTTACAAGTACTTCTAAGAAAGGCAAACAATTATCTTGTTCAATTTCATGAGTAAACTAGATAAGTTTAGAGGATCAACATTATTTAGGTAATCATCAAATATTTTCAATTCGGTATTTCCATGCCGCCAAACCAAGAAGGTGTCATCAACAAATCTAATACAACAGGTTTTCCAATTGTATTATCAAGAGCAATACATTCACAATTGTCCATATAAAGATCACATATAGGTGGAGAAAGAGGAGAACCCATGGCTAATCCATTATTTTGTTTATAAAATTTCTCATCAACTTGAAAAAAAAATTTCAACACATACTCTGGGTAAATTAATAATGTCAAAAATTTCAACTGGAGAAACGGAAGCTTGAATTAATCTATCATAAAAACAATTAATAGCATCTTCTACTGGAACTTTAGTAAACAAGGAAACTATATCGAATGATACCAATTTGTCAAAATTCATATAGGTTGAAAGTTTATAGTGATGCTTGTAATTAAGTATTATTTGAGTTTCTAATTGATTAAACACTACAGAAGCTGTATTATGTAAGTTATAAAATCTAAAAGGGAGAATTCAGAGCACAAAAATGTCATATGACATAGAGAGGCAGAGACTTGGATTTGTAAATTTCCTTTTGAAATTAAGGTTTCATATTTTAGATGAAAAAATAAAAAATATGAATTATGAACTATGTTTTGATGTCAAGTTTATTGAAAACATTAATAATAAAATTGTTTAATTAACTTTTATAGGTACTCCTGTAAAACATCATAAAATATTCACTTTGACCCTGCCATACAAAAAGAGTTAAGATATGTAATAAATGCTCTATACACTTGTATTTTGTACCTTATGGACAATCTCCAGCCAAGGTTCATTAGCACTGATCTCAGCTTCAAAAGCTTCATGCTTCTTGAGCTTTCTCTCCAAATTGCTCAGGTCACGGTACGACTCATCCGTCGCAATTTTCATCTTGTCCTGAATCCATTCTGAAAGCTTTAAAGGCAAAAACTTAATGACACACAAATGACTAGCAGCTCAAATATACCAAAAGCACGCAAGTCTAAGTCTTGTTAGTACAACCATAACTTGTATTGAATGCTGAAGTTTAATAATAATAATACCTTTTTTTGGAGTTTTATGTTCAAAAAACGATAAAGGATAACAAAAACTCTACCCCTTATTATCTTTGTCAAATTGTTTTAGTCACAATTTAAGCTACTTGGTTCTCGTCAGAAATATGTAAATATAAACAATTCATCTAAATGTATAACTGAATATGTTCATTTAATTTGGTTTACTAAATTCTGGGATGAAGAACAAAATTAATAGTTAAAGTCATGATAAATAAATCTTTTATGATATTAGTAAGCTGTTCCTAAATCCAAGTTACACTTAATTTTTAGTACCATAGAATTAAATTAATTATTTTTCTTTCAAGATAATTCAAATGGCTGAACTTAAAAACTGGAAGTCATTTTCCTTTTAGATACATAATCTCTTAGGATAATCCTGAAATTAATTAACTAGTCCCTACAAACCTCTTCTGCCTCTGCTTTAAACTGTTGGAATGTTCTTGACTCTTCCAGCATTTCCCTTCTTTTCTCAGCCCTTTCCTTCACTGCTTCACGTCTTGCAAAAACCTGGTGTCTTCGTTGGTCAATACTAGTAGAGGATTTAAAGGTTACTTAAATATAGTTTATTTTGTTCAATCACTAGTGATATCAGTGAACTTTTGTAAGCATTAATGTAATTAAAGAACAAATTATTAATTTCTATTTTTTTACTATACAGATTAACGACAAAAATTAATCTGAAAATTATTCAATTACTGTAAAAAACAAAATGAGAAAAAAGTGTTTTGTGTGGGTAAAACTTGACAAGACGACATTTATATGAAAATTCATATGCTCACACTGTTTTGCACTGATTTAATATCTTTGTAATTATTTTCATGAACAATATTACCTACAATGAGTATAATAACCAGAAGTTTTAAGCTGTTGGTTAACTAAACACCTTCTGAAGATTTAAAAACACAAAAATAATTACCACATTGGTGTCCAACACAACTGATTTGGGTGGTGTAGTTAACAATACACAGTTATTCAACTTTAACTCAGTGTGTAATCAGTATTAAACATCCACTCAAAGTGGTCTGGGTGTAAATATGAAATGCAATAGTTTCCATATGCATGTAATCAATGACTAATATTTCATGTGTTTATGCTTAGTTTTCATCAGTTAACCGGCTTTCACTCTTAATTTGAACACAAATTTTTAATTCCTATTAAATACAAAATTAAACAAGTTAAAAATTCGGTTTCAGTTTTCTTTGCTGTCTGATTTTTTAAATAGTAAGTATATGTGACCTGTAAAGTTCATACATTTATCAATAACGGTCACATGATTTGTATTAATGTTTTATGAAATTATAGATTACAGTCTCTTTACGTCAGTACTCAGTATGATGAAAAATTCCTTAGATACTTTTAAACATTTAAATACAAATCATTAATTACTTGTAATAAAATAAATTTTATTTATAAAAATGTTAAAAACTCAGAAATAAAAGCTTGTATAATGAACTGCTGATCCAAAAGAATAATTCAGAAACAAAAACGAGAACTTGAGGTAATAACTAAATTTTAATTATTAATCCAATATAAAATAATGTTGTTGTTTTTGTTTATTATTAAGCTCAAAGCTACATAAAGGGCTATCTGTGCTCTGCCCACCACGAGTATTGAAACCCAGTTTTTAGTAGTACAAGTCCACAGACATACCACTGTATTAAAATAATGATATAAATGAAAGATTAATAAGGCAGCCTCCCAGTAATGTAAATCAAAGTACTAAAAAATCCATTATTAATACAACTTTAAAATACAAAAGACACAAAAATAACAAAATAATTAAATATCCTATTTTGCAAAACTTTCCTTCTTCAGCTATTTTTCTAAAACAGCATGTGTTGGTTGCTGGTTTATTTCTCAATAAAAACATAATTTGTCTTAAAAAAAGCAAGAAACAAACAAGGTTGCTAGGATACCTACTATTTGCTTTCTTGATGTCTAGCTTCAATTAACTTGTCAGCCATTATACTAAATTTGTCTAATCGATCTTCCTGAGCTTGTAATTTAGCAAGAAAGTTTTCGTGCCTCTTCACAAGGGATTCCACGTCATCTAGTGTTGTCTAAAAATAATTTATTAACATTACATGATGCAACCAACTGGTATTATGTATCTCTTTTCTCTTGTAATTTGGTAGTAATAATATATTTAGTTTAGCATACAAAACTAGAATTTCAGTAGCACTTTGATCTCTTTATTCTTAGGCTTATCTTTCAAAATGCAACACACACCAATGTTAAAACACACTGCTTGTTTACTAAAGAGACACAAACATTTAATAAATTTAAGAGTAATTACAAAACTATTATTCAAATAAGAAACTAACAGTTTTAAAAGCATTTTTGACAAGTAATACTTCATTAGTTTAATAATATTTCTGGAAATAAAATGCTAAGCTGCCCAAGAATACTTGTAAAATTAGAATAAAATATCAAAATTAATCTGGATTGTTGTTTGTCAGGGTAGAATATGCAAGCATAAATTTGTAATATAAAGTTTAGTGATAAAAATAAACAGAAATCTTATAAAGTAAAATAAGTAAAATTCCAAATTCCGTACTTAACTTAAACTAGTACATGCAACTTAACATTATAAAAAGTTTAAAGTAAAAATTCTGTAATTAAAAATATAACAAAAATGCTTTAGGCACTTCCAGGTAAAGATTAATAGTATCATATGTAATTGATGAAATAATGAAAATACTATGCATACTCCTAGGTTTTCATAGGCCAGGAAATTATTGTGACTGTTTGTGATGCTGTCAATTTGGTCAGCTTCCCTGTTGAACATCTGAAACATAAATAAAATGCAAACTTAACTACAAATCATGCTCAATGTTCAATATTTAAAAATATGCATACAATATATATATATATATATATATATATACACACACATAATAAATATGTCAATTTGTAATCAAATTAAAAAAATTAAAAAAAACAAAATTTTTGTTATCTTCCCTTTGATGTATTTCAAAAGATTTAAAATCAAAACAATAAGTTGTTTTTAAAATTTTTATCCACTGTATAGTGGCTCATAGAAGTTTTTATTCAAGTACAAACTTTTAGCTCATAGCCCCCATCTCTTGAACGATTTCAGATCTAATTACAGCCATAGCTATTGAGAATTCCCTCTTGTTTTATGTACAGAATACTTTACTATGAAACTTTGTATCTCTGTACTGTTTTTTTAAATTCTTATTTCTTTTATAGACATCAAGAAAGCAAATAGTAGGTATCCTAGCAACCTTGTTTGTTTCTTGCTTTCTTTTTTTAAGACAAATTATGTATATGTGTGTGTGTATATATATAGACTGCCAAGTGAAATTTCTATTTACACTACACACATATAGTTTGTTTGGTATTTAAGTTTAGCATATGTTTTATTTCCTTTTCAATACTGAAAATATAAAAGACTTCAAAACGTACTTTACTGTAAATGAGGGAAAATTTTTAAATGTGAATTTACATTTATCTAAGTTGTATGAATACTCCAATTATAAGTATTTTGTATTTACTTCAAAAAACAACAAATACCACAGTGTAATGAAAACAAAATTAATATATAATACAATATTAATGAAAGCCATTCACTACCTGCAAGTCTAAACACTGCTCCAACCAATCCTTTTTTTCTTCCCAGCCTCGATGAATTGCTTCTCGCTCTTCTTGTAGTTGTGATATGGTTTGTTGAATGTCAGGTGAATCAGGGCTCTTTCTTAATATATTCTTACCCAAATCCTGTACATCCTGAAACCTGTTAAAATATAACTATGTATGTGTAATTTTTGTTTTATAATAATATATCATAGAAATTTCAGTCCCCCTGTTTCCACTCCTACAGCAGTGAACACAAAACTATATATGCAGTAATATGTATGTAATAAACTAAAATACAAGAAAAACATTAACATTATTCACTTATCTATGAAAGAGAACGATTTATGTTAATACGAACATGCTGTTTTATCTTTCTTAGTTCCTCAAAAATATAAATATTTGATTACATTAAAATTAGTTGAACATGATCTTGTTCTAAATCATGTTTTAAAATAATGACTTCTGCTTCAGTAACTCAAAGCATCTTACCCATTTAATTAGAAAAAAAAATCATTACTTGTTAAGTACCTTAACAGCTTGATTTAAAAAAAACCTTTGAGTGAGACTTATTTGTGTATCAAGAAATTACTTACTCATCTTCATGGGCCATAATCTCAGTATATAGATCTTCATGGTTTTTAATCAAGTTTTCAGCCGTTTCTACATCTCGTGCTGCTTCACCACTGTTAAGGGCCTGTTTGACCTCCCCAACCCAGACTAACTGTGATAAAACAAGAGTGTTAGATAAAAACAGTTAGTCTTCAACATTTTAACAAAGACTGGTAGATTTATATATTCAATATTCATATTAAATAAAATGAAAGCTAAGCCACATTAACAAGAAAAACGATTAGAGTAAAATACTTTTTTGTTTCTATCATTGACTTTTGTGGTTGTTTTAGAATTCTAATTCTAACAAAACATACGTGAAAATTTCAGTGAAATGTTTAAGTCATTCTAAAAGCTTCATAGCTAAACCACATACAATTACATTTCAATCAAAACAAGGAACAACAGAAACATGAGCTGTTATAAGATACAAGAATTTACTGAAATCCTATGTAATACAACAGATGCTATAGATAATTTCCCATAGTTACACTTACCAAATTTTTGGCACTATTGTTAAAAACTTGCCGACCCATTGAATCATGTAGTCTTGCTTTACGTTCTGCTGCTTTAGCCTGAAATAAAGTTCACTTCACACTCATCAAAATGTTCTAAAATGTTAACTTTTGTCATATTTAAAAACAATATATCCCTATGTGAATTAATGGTTAGAAATAACAAACAAATTGGTTCACACAAGTTGCACCAACTGAGGACAACGTGACCATTACAAGCATGTATTTATGATCATACTGAATGTAATAAAACAAGACTTAAGGTTAAGCTGTACCTTTAAATACATCTTTTAGAAAACAATTACAGAAATATTGCACTGGATTTCTGATTAACTAACGTAATTCATTATGTATTTTATTGCATGTAGTTCATTACAAGTTCATAAAAATATAAGTAGCTAAAATAAATAAAAATCTGATTGTACCTTAACTCGATCCCACATGTCTTTTAGTTCTGCCTGTCTCAAGGAAACATTAGCTCTCTCAGCAGGGTATGAAGTTTTCACTCTAACAAAACAGAAATCACATTAAGAGGCAAGTTTTAAAGCACTCCAACAAAACGAGTTTCAAATTAGCTGGTACAGGTTACTTAATGCACTATGAACTATAAAAAAGGTAATGTAATTCAGGCTGAAGTTTTAGTTTAGTATACTTACGATTCTGCTAGACGGTTAACACGATTGTACTTTTCTTCCACGGGTGCAAGTTCCCTTTCTAGATTCTACAGTGAACAAAAGTATTAGGGTGTAATGATGAGTTTGGCAATGATTTATCCCTATTAGTGTAACAAATGTGACAAAACAAAATTACATAATAACTACAAATATTTTTAAGCTCTTCATTTTCAACTTAACACACTGGGATTTTCATAAGAAAAGTGCAGAAAAGAATTTTAACAAAATTCTTCTATTATAAAACACTGCAAATGTGACTTTCCACTCTATACCAAGTTCATTAGGCAGGCTTGGTTATACAAATATATTCAAAATACATTTCTAGTATTAATGTAATATTTTACCACACTTCATTAACTAACTATAAGTATTTTGTAGCTGTTTTAAAACTATAATATATGTTTTTATGATACATTTTTATCACAAATATATTTAAACAAAAAAGATTTTACAACAAAATCTCTAAAAAAAATTATCTAAATGTAAAATTTCTAACAAGAAATAAAAAAGGACAAAATATCATTCAAATAATCATGTATAAAAGGTTTTGCTAAAACAACTATATAAAGATGATGTAAATTATTAATATACTTCAGATTTTCTGAAGTATATTAATGCTGAACAGAAAAATAACAGCTACATTTATTAAGTACTATACACACACTACTCACAAAAATTAAAGGTTAATGGGGTTGCTTGTATATTTTTAGGTTTTCAATTTTTTCTAATTTAATAGCTTATTGTAGAGGAGTACATTAATCCTACTTACCAGAGTTTGCAAGTTTATAACAATTCTATTTATAATAGGTCTTTTTGAGAAATTACCCAAATTCTGTAATGTAAAAGGTTAGTTTGATAGATTAGGAAAGATGCTAACTATTGATATAATGCTAGGTTTATGGATTTTTTTTTGTTGGTATTGCATTTTGCAATCTGTTAGAAACCAATTAATTGAAACTGAAGTTTGCTGAGCTGCCATAGTGTTTCATGAGTGCTACAACCAGAATGAGGTGGCACAGGTCAAGGGATTGCCACAACAGAACATTGTGGAGCAAATACCAGGCTACAAGAGAATAGACCAACAAACCAGGTTGGGGTTGCAGAAGTGCTACAATTGCAGTAACAAATTTATTTCTGTGAAATTAAACCGTTACAAATTGATATCTGTGAAATTAAACCCTTACAAACTGATATCTGTGGAATTAAACCCTTACAAATTGATATCTGTGGAATTAAACCTTTACAAACTGATACCCTGTGAAATTAAACCCTTACAAACTGATATCCTGTGAAATTAAACCCTTACCAACTGATATCTGTGGAATTAAGCCCTTACAAACTGCATCAGCAACACTAGGGACCTCGGGAACCAGCTTCAGCAAGCCACTGGAGTCTGTATATCATGCTCAATAATTAGGAACAGGCTCCATGAGGCTGGACATAAGCCCAGAATGCCAGTTAGAGCTCCTTTATTAACCCCAAAGTACAAAACAGCTTAACTGGAATTTGCCCAGGAATATGTCACCTGGACCCTTCAGAAATAGACCCTGTATTGTTCCCAGATAGGAGCAAATTCTGTGTATCTTCAAGTGATCCAAATATTAGAATGTGGAGATATGAAAGATTTGGCCTAAAACATTGTCCACCACGATACTTTTAGAGGTGGCTTAGTCATGGTCTGGGGTGGTATCTGTATGATGCAGGTGCATACTGACATCTATGTGGTAGATGGAGGATCCCTGACAGCAAGTCTTTATCTAGATGAGACCCTGCTAATCATTGTTCACCCCTTTTGCTGGTGCTGTCGGAGTAGCTTTCGTGTATCGGCAGAATAATGCCCATCCTCACACCACCAGGATCAAGCAGCAATTTTTCAGGATGAAGGAATAGAGGTACTTGACTGGCCTGCTAAGTCACTGGGCCTAAATCTGATTGAGTGTGTGTGTGTGTGCGGAACTTGCTAGCGAGAGCAGTTAGAGACAGACAACCTGCTCCTACAACTGTTCAGTAGTTCAGAACTCCTCTCATCCAGGAGTGGTCTGTGCTGCCCCAGGAAGCGATCCGAAATGTCATCAACAGTATGGGGGAACAGATGCAGAAAATTCTTAAACAATACAGGTGGACCTATCAGCTACCAAAGACTCATTTTTTTAAGTTTTTTTTCTTCTTAATTGGTTATTTTTTGCTCTGATGTTTGTGCAGTGAAATATTGGCATTTTCTGTTATTTGTAAATGAATTTTCGACTTGCTTAGTATTATTTACCTATGATATTTGTAATAAAAAAGTTTTGTCAATACTGAACATCAAGTTTTTCTTCAAATTTTGAAAAAACATATCAAAACCTCATTATCCTTTAATTTTTGTGACTAGTGTTATTTCAGCATTAATGACACAAAGTGCTTTGTTATACAAATTCTGAAATACTTCTTAACGCTTATAGCATTGAATATTTTGAGTTTTAATAGCTTTTTAATAGTTTTTCACTGTACACCCATCTATGATATTGTAAATTGATCATTAAGTTTTTGATCAATGTTAGGAAAAGCATTTGATTAAACACAAATATACCTGATGTTTTCGTTGAAGTGACTGGATTGTTTTCATATCCATACCAATTTCATCTGAATCCATCTTTTCTAATTTCTCTGCCATCCAATCACGCGCCTCATCACAAGTTCGATTAAACAGTTCTACGCTGAATTACAGTAAAAAAAACTGCATCACTGATCATTTTCAACCTCTATCAAAAGGCTGAACAATCAACACTTAGAAAACGTGTGCATTTCAAAACTCACAATCTCTCAAAGTACTTCACTTCTTCATCACAAGCTTAACCATAAAAAATAAGAATTGTACAAACTTTACTAAGTCTTAATCAAGCAGGATTTTCATTTTAATTGTTATAAAAAAAAACAGTAAAAAAGTATGAGATAAAAATGTTTCCATGTCATACATGTACATTTCTCTGAAAACTAAACCTAATGCACATCATAGTCCACTGAACAAACATTAACTACTACTTCAACATGCAACTTACCTCGTAGCACCTTCCAAGCTTCGTTCTTTTTCTGTTTTTAGCCTATTCAATCTATTCCACCTTGAAAGAGAAGAATCAAATTATTAGCTTAATCTACCACTTTTCAATTTAATATTATGTGCCATCTGGTAACAAAGATGTAATTACATTGAAATGTATTTCTATTATCCTTAATAGAAAACAAAAAAAGCTGACAACTCAATACTCACTTAAAAAGACAAGTGCTTTTATCATTTACACTTTGTAGATGTACATGATTAAAAAGTTTAAAACAAAGTAGTTACTTCGAATTAACAGCACCAGTGAATATCCAAGCTTTCCAGAAAATAAACACTTTTCAACATCATAAAAAAATCAGCTATTTCTTGAAAGCAAACTGAGAAATGTGAAAAACGTGAACAGAAGATTCTTTATAATTTTTTTTTTGTATGGATATCTACAAATATGAAATTGAAGTCGTGCAGAAATTAAAGATTTAAATTGTTATATTACAAATAGCCAACAATTAATGATACTTGTTGGCAGCAAATTGCTTTTTTTCAAACCAAATGTACAAATATAGATGAATTTCTGATACAAAATCTATATCTTCAATGTATATACCACAGTAAACTTAAAATACACAACTTGCAATTAATGTAATCGTTACATTCCAACACTAAATTTACTGTATATGTTCTAGCATGTGCAGTAGGACCCAATATCATAATTTAAATTTTCAATATATTAACCTGTGTGTAAAAGTTTCAGTTAGTGAGAACAAAACTTTCAAATTCAACTTTAGAATTCTAAGAAACTCAATTCTAAAACTGCTCTTCTACACCAAGAGATTTCTACTCACCCAGTTCAGCTACACATTGTTAAGGTTGGGAAGGGGATTTATTTACAAAAATAAAAGAAATAAAATTTTAATATGATTGGAAAACATTTATATATACAATATCACTGTACAATACCTATCATGTATTTGTTTCTGTCTGGTTCTTATATCGGTTAATTGGCTATGTTTATCTCGGATAAATTCCTCCACCATGGAGTCAATTTCTTCGACACGACGACTGCTGGCCGACAAGTCTGTTAAAAAGTTCTAAAGCAAATAATAAACTTAAAGTTTTAATACACTGTACATTTAGCTTTTCCAATCACAAAGTTATTTTTCATTATGTTTATTGTAAGTCATTTAGCTTTTTAAATCTTTAATACTGTTTAATAAGCATCATAAAATTGGATTTGCTCTATTTTCATTGCAACATGTTTATGATAAGACAGGCACTGTAATTAGTGGGATCCAAATTAGTGAAAACTAGTGCTTTCACAAGTAGAAATGTTTTTATTTACAAATACAAGAATGCAATAATGTACAGAACTGTAACCAATATTGTCCTTCTGAATTACCTATTCTTTCCAATTTGACATTTTTACTTTGCACAAATTTTCTTTAAGAAATTAGGTAAGCATTAATGCCTTCTATTAGAAACATATTTATTATGTTCAGAAGACATCAAAAACTTCCTTAATGTTTGTATCCAAAAACTTTAGAGCATAAATCCACTGACCTCAAACATCTTCTTCTGCACTTCAACAGTATCTTTTGGATTACTCGTTGTGAGCAGTCGTTCCTAAATTTCAGATAAATTTTTATCTTTAAAAACTAAAATAACACTATCTATGGAGTTTTGAGTCCATTTTATTTCACCATATAGTAACCTCTGGTTGAAAAAAGAAAAGAAGTTTTAACACACATACACACACACATATATATATGTGTGTGTGTGTGTGTGTGTGTGTGTGTGTGTGTGTGTGTGTGTGTGTGTGTGTGTAGGTGTACATATATGTATCATCTTTTACAATAACAACAAAGTCATAACCATTATTCCACAAAATGCACAAATGTGTTCTAACAAAAATAAGTATAAACCAACTGTACTTTAGTCTAGCAGGCTTAAAACTGAGATAAGTGTTTGTTTTTATTTTTTACACAAATTAAAAATACCCAAATTTTCTACAATCATAGAACAACACATTAATTTTCTGAATATATATTATAGAACTTTATAATTCTCATTTCACTCATTATAATGCTGATGTTGATAATTTTAAGGACAGTGAAAGAATAGAAGTATATGAAAACCCACAAGCTATGATCACAGTGAGGATGAGGTGAAGAGAATAAAAGAAAGAAGTAAGTATACCTTATCTTTCATCCAATTCTCAAAGTCATCACATTCCCGATAAAATCTGAAAAGCTGAATAGCATCTTCCAAGAAGTGGTGTCTGGCCTGGAAAGAAAACAAAACTATATTGAAACCATCTCTTCCATAAACATTATTCTGGTTTTCTGGCTTGGGAAACTTCCCATAAGCATTATCATGTCAACTCTTTCAGTAAAATACAAAACTAAATTCAGCAGACAGGAGCACAGAGAGTCATGAAAGACACTTAAACCTTTTAGTTCATGGGCACCTCCACAAAATGTGACTATTCCTTTTTACTATGCAGTGTTAAATTATCTTTTAAAAATTGTCACAGACACCTCCACAGAACCTGAGTGCTCCTTTTTATCATGCAGTGTGAAATTATCTTTTACGGCTACTGCCATAAAGCACTTGTCCCTCTGATCAAACAGCTGAATCAAACAGCACTAAATGCCTAAGCCTAATGTATCAATCAAAAGATTTAAAATCCAATTTTCCTCATTGAAGAGTCATCACAGACCAATTTCACCAATCAATATTCAAGGAAAGAAAATGGTACTGTATCAATATTCTGCAATTAATTCTATGCTGACACTATTATGATAAAAAAAAAAACAAGCCAAGCAAGTCAATGACATAGAAGCTTCTGTTACATGTGTTACAGAAGAGTTGCTGACAAATTAAACAGGCATTTGCATATCCTAACTCCTACATGAATAGAGAAAACTATTAAAATCAATGATACATAATCTAGAGTTCTAGCTACTGTTACAGACAAATAGTTTTGCTGTGTCTTACATAGATTCTCTCCTAAAATATGCAACTATCTCAAGGCAGCTCTATGGGAGAACAAAACCAAAATGACTGGTGGATTCTAGATGCAGCTTAAAGACTCATGTCAAAATATAAAATATGTCAAGTTTTCCTCTTAAATAAAAAAATCATACACCAACTTATCGGTGATAGAATCTGTTGATATTTGTACATGTAAGATATGTTAAGAAACTACAAAGTTTAATACTTCTCCGTTCCCATTCTAATTTTAAATACTTATCAACAAACAAAGCCTGAGACCTCTGCCAGTTCCATAAGTTCTTCAAATTTAGTATTGATCGAGTTCTGTCGTTCTTCAACTCTCTGTCCTTCCTTCTTACTCTGAGACTTCGCTGGGGTGGTTTCTAAGATTAAAATTAATGTTATTCTAAGTTATCCACATAAAAAAATCAAATCACTTAATGATAAAAGTCAAGAATCTATACAAACAGAAAAAATGAGCTTTGCACAGTAGAGATACCCATATATGCTGAAACATTTATAAATATCATAACTTGATTTCCGTATTTCCACATCAGGTCAACTTAATTAGACCAGCCAGTTAACTGAATGTGCACAGGGTCAGTCCACTAAAACTGACTCCATACTGAAGAAGGAATGTTGACTGTAAATCTGAATTTACTACATGCATCTACATGAAAACGTACAAGTCTGTTGTAAACAAAAAGTCAGATGTGTTACAAAAGTATCTGTACTTAATAAATGTCTGTGAAACCATGATGTCAGTCTAACTCAGACTCTGAAAAGTCAGAGTGCTAGGTGATCTTCATGTGAAGGATAAAATACTTCTGTCCATTGTACAGTTTGCATAACCTCTAAAACTTCTGAAATGCATATCTACAGGGTTATTTTTTCAATATCTTTGTATATTGTATATGGAATTTATTCTTTATTACCACAAACTTTTGCTATATAAGAAAGTATGGTAAAATAAATAGTTAATAATTTCGACATCAAATACATAATACCATATTGAATGGCATTCTGGAAAAGGTCATGGCAAGTGCACTTTGACCCCACCCATGCAAAAGGGTTAAAGTGCAAGCTTGATTTACCAGCTATTAACCAGTTAAATATACAAGCTTATTAATCAGTTAAAAGATGTAATTTACTAAATTTATGAGTTAGTTCAAATATAAATTGAATTTACCACTTTTTAGTCACTAGTTTAAATATCACTGAACTTTTGTTAAATTGTAATCTCTCAATTATGTTACGCATGTTAAAAATCTTTTATCTTAGATTCCTGCACAGATATATGTTGTTTCTTAAACAAAGTACATTTCAAATGTCCACTTCAGTAACAATAAACAGCTTCAAGACACAATAGTTTTTACCTGAATATAATTCTGATAAAAAAAAGCTGCACATATTAAGTTAATTACAAGTCAAATACTGTTTACATTTTTTAAACTAATTATATAACAAAAGTTTAAGAAATCATATAACCATTTTACACTCTTCTTGCTAAATAAAAATATCATGTTAAAATAACATATGAAAAAAAACTGTACTTTACTTTTTTTTAGCAGGGACTAACTCGAAAAAAAAACAAACAGCATTACAGCTACAGTCATATTATTATTTTGCATATCAAAATAAGAAAATACTCACTACTCTTTTTCTCTATAGGTTTTTTCACAACTTGCTTTTTCATCACTGTTTTTTTAACTTTTATTTTTTCTGGAACTTTAACTTTTTTTTGACAGATTTCTGAATAATTTTAGGTTCAATTTCTTTAACATAAGTTGCTGGAACAAATCCATTTCGTCCATCTAGTTTCCGAACACTCCACCAGTCAGCATTTGCTTTCTGTAGCAATAGCAGCACCTGGTGAGAATAAATACAGCTTTAAGTGACAAGAAAATGATACTTAAAGTTACTTGTATGGAGGGGGGAAAAAAATTGCTACGCATGATTATTTTTGTACTCAAAATAATTACATCATAGCACAATTTTTTCCCCTCCATACAAGTGCTATGACATAATTATTTGAGTACAAAAATAATCATATATATATAGCACTATTTTTTTTCTCAAACTTAAAACCATCCACCTTGCAGAACCATACTGATTGTAAATGACACCCTGTATCAGATTTAAATTCTGTGCCCTGCATTAAAAAAACTTTTTTTTAATCTAAGCTATTCTTGCCTGGTGGGTCAGCGGTAAGTTTATGGACTTACAATGCTAAAATCCAGGGTTCGATTCTCCACGGTGAACACAGAGGATAACCCAATGTGGCTTTGTGTTAAAATAAATAAAAAAACAATCCTTGCCTTAAAAGATGGAAACTCACACCCCCTACAGGTATGTGCTCTCACACTACTCTTGGTACAGCCGTGCCGCATTGTAAAATAATCTTTCAAATTTTTTTTTTTAATTGAAGCATATCATATCAATCAATCATTAATTAATTGAAACATGCGTATTACTTAAATTTTCCTTGTTATATAATATTATTATTCATTTTTGGATAGCAAATTGTTTATTCATTTTTCTCTTAAGCAGCATTAACCAAGTGCATTGTGCTTATATACATGCTTTACAACTGTCAGAGTAAACATAAAATCTATGGGTGCTACTATAATGTAAAAAAACAAACAAACTGACCTTCAAGTAGTGACCTATTTCACATCATCATTGATTCTTAACCCTATATTAAAGATGGGATCCATAAAAACCTCATCATGCTTAACACATTTGTATGAGCTCTTTATTGTTTCTTAACCCCAGAATTGCAGATGGGGTCCTACAAGCAGCATTTTAGAATGTTTGTAATTTTAAACCCACAGATTAATTTCCCAGAAAGGGGACAAAGGCTGCCTGGAGGGGTCACCTGTTTTAACCATTCGCACCACTATACAGCAGTGTGTTGTCTGTCAGTGAGTTGGTAGACACTAAAATGACGTCACATAAGGGACGCTTAACGTTGCAATTTGTACTGTCCTGACGTTAGCAAAACGTGCGCGTGTCATGAATCACGAGAAGAATTGTGCACTCTGTAGGCTACAACACAGCATGACATATGAACTTAAAAAGCAAGAAATAAAAATACTTGTTACTCTTAATTTTGGTTGTATTTACACTTGAAACAGAACACTTTCGAGAACCCTGCACAAGTACATCTAGAATAGTCATTATGGTTTTCCAACAAGACCCAAAACTCGAGCGCTTTCGAATAGTTAACTATTCTTCTTCCTGAACTATTCGAAAAAGCTTGAGTTTCGAGTCTTATTTAAAACCATTACAACTTTTATGTGTGATCCTGTGTGCTAACTTCTTAGTCAGAATTAGTACAGTTATTAATTATCCTCCAGATATTATTATGAAATTTAGTTTGTCAATTTAAATTTGATTCTTTTTCTTACACTAATAATCGATATCACGTTTCCAGCTTAATCTTTACACGGCACTGATGTAACCAATACATATTCCCTAAAATAACTTATGGTGACGTAGACAACACACGCATATGAAACAATGACCTGAAAAATGAAAAAAGTCTAATCGTTCAAGGCTGATTGGTTTATTCTTCTACGTACACTGTTACGCACAATCTTCAACAGCCAATATAATTAGTTTTGGGGAAAATGATTTATGATTGAGTATCTAGGAGGAGGTTACCCCCCCCCCCCCCCAAACATGCTTTCAATGAAGTTTCATATTATTTGAGTTATGGATGCACGATGTTTTAACTACTGATTGTGACAGTCCACGACTGCATGTAAACGAAAACATCCAATGTCTTATTCTCCAGTCTATGTAGCAATCGTTGAAAAACGGCCTAGTTTTTACTAACTATATCTAACGCCCTGTTTGTCGTGTATATGTTACTTACTTGATACGGTAAAAACTGCAGGTCGCTGCCTGATTTGGAAATAGATACGTCCTTGATACGGTAAACACTGCAGGTCGCTGCCTGATTTGATATAAGATACGTACTTGATACGGTAAAAACTGCAGGTCGCTGCCTGATTTGATATAAGATACGTACTTGATAACGGTAAAAACTGCAGGTCGCTGCCTGATTTGGAAATAGATACGTCCTTGATACGGTAAAAACTGCAGGTCGCTGCCTGATTTGGTATAAGATATAGCTACTTGATAACGGTAAAACTGCGAGGTCGCTGCCTGGTATTTGATATAAGATACGTCTTAGATACGGTAAAACTGAGAGGTCGCT